GCTGATGGAAGGAGGTTGTCACTCAAAATCTCACGATACATGGCCCCATTCATTCTTTCCTTTACACGGATCAGTCGTCCTGGTCCCTTTGCAGTTCAGTCTTCCCAGCCTGGTGCAGGTCTACAATTTTGTTTCTGGTTTCCTTTGACAGCTCTTTGGTCTTGGCCATAGTGGAGTTTGGAGTGTGACTGTTTGAGGTTGTGGACAGGTGTCTTTTATACTGATAACGAGTTCAAACAGGTGCCATTAATACAGTTAACAAGTGGAGGACAGAGGAGGCTCTTAAAGAAGAAGTTACAGGTCTGTGAGAGCCAGAAATCTTGTTTGTTTGTAGGTGACCAAATACTTATTTTACCGAGCATCATTTGCAAATAAATTCTTTAAAATCCTACAATGTGATTTCCTGGATTCTTTCCCCCCATTTTGTCTCTCATAGTTGAAGTGTACCTAGGATGAAAATGACAGGCCTCATCTTTTTAAGTGGGAGAACTTGCACAATTGGTGGCTGACTAAATACTTTTTTGCCCCACTGTAGATAACCTCATTCGCAGCATATCACATAGGTAACCTCGTCCTCTCATGTAAATATGGATAAAGGCCAGTGTGGACTCCAGGGACGCACTCAAAGTCTTTTACAGAAGAAAATAAAGAAATGACTATCTACTCACTTTCAAAATGGACAGCAGAAAAACTGGCCGTTATGATACTTAGAAGACAGGAGGACTTGCTGCTGCACGATGTTCGGACATACGAGGTCACTCACAGTCTGACCTATCCCTGAAATAAAAGGGAGTCAGAACTTGAACACTTCTTCTTTTGTTTTTTGACTGTTTCAGCCAGGCCTGGTTGATAAAGTTGTCTCATCTGTCTCTTTAGGCTCTCACTTGAGTACACAACACAATATTAAGGGTGCCTTTCTACATGTACCTTAGCCTTTTTTCAGTTGAGATAAAAACAGTGCAAGGCTGCAGAATCAGTAGCGTCAAACAATAATTTTACCCATCATCCTTTGTTGTCAAATGTGTTTTTAAACTCATCTATCTGCAGTATGCCGTGCCCATGCAGGCCGTCAGTGACTTGTCAGCCAATAGGAAGCCACAAACACTTTCAGGGCATCATATGTGGTGTGCCCCCCCCCCCCCCCACCACTCCATACTGCAGGTACCTGAGCAGCACATTTGAAAAACTTTATTTACAGACCTCACTCACATCACAAATGCAGTTTAGAGAGAGCGGAAGGATGTCCACATTCAATGTAAAATGTTCACGCAGTATTAGATGTTTTTCTGCAGCATTCACAATGTTGCACTTGTACACAGTGTCATAAAATAATGTACATACACACATAACGTAAACAAATATAAAAATGCAATAGGTATATACAACAAATATTATTCTAATTGATGTAGTTTGCATATATGCATGTCTTCTAGGGTGTAAGAAGGAACAATGGTTTGTTTGGATGCAGATTTTTAGTTTGTTTCAATTAGAAAGGTTTTTAAACATGATTCTGACGATAATCCACTGTTTGTTGTTTTCATGAGTGTGTGTTTGTGAATGAATTTGTGTTACTGGTGAGCATATCTTTGTGTACATGAACATGTTCTCCCTACATAACTGATGGTAGCCAATAGGAGGAGGTTAAGCATGGATTTGTTTTTTGTTTGTGCTCTGATACCTTATTTACTTAAAAGGACTGTGCCAGTGGTTTTGTATGTTTTATTAGCTTTTAAAAGAATACATGGCTAGCAATTTAACACAGGGATTTTTGTTATGTTTAATGGGTTTTCTCAACCAACTGTTTCTTTTATTTAGGAGACTTTTCAAACTCTCATAGTGAACACCAAGTCTGCATTAAAGGCCCTTAAACAACAGTTCTCAATCTATTTACCATGAACAGTGGGGTTTTACATAAAGATAAAACATTTCTGGCAAATTCAGAAATAGTTTATTTTACATGAGAGCTTTCTGTTTGTTCTACCTCGCTAATGGGAGAAAAAAATGTATCTACCAAGTACAAAACTGCACCTCATACGCTTGCAAATGGTAAGGCTTAAATTAATCTTAGGTGAGGCAAAACTCTCAGAAAAACTCATCTATCAGGTTACTAATGAGGACACACTGCTGTTAGTTTTCACCGTGTATTTTCTAAAGAGGACCATGCTAAAGATGCAATCAACTTTAAATCTTACACATTTTTGACCTTTTTTGCCTATGGATCTGTAAAAACAAAAAGTGATTTTCTGTCAGTCTGTAGTGTTACCAGTTTAACCAAAGAATGACTGCCCCGTGTTAAGTTTGTTTAAATGCTTATACAATTGGACAATAGGAGGAAATCGACTTGCTCTAAACCACCCCGTCTGAGAACCACTCGTCTTCTACAGGTAACAACTCTAAATAACATTTGATGACCTCACGTGAAAGATGCATACTGTAAACAGACATTTGAAAGCCAAGGCCTTTCATTCTCATTGGAGTAAACAATCTCTTCTGAGATGATGTTAACTGTACTAACTATAAACACACAGCAGGTGGCACAGCCCATGTTGCCCCAGGTTAAGGACACCTTCTGTTTCTGTTTTTAGCCGGGGCTCGCAGACACTTTCTGCATCAACGTCAGCACCTCTGAGTCCGCAGGGTTTACTGAAGTCAGTTGGGGTTAACAGAAATTGTGCACATTGTTTTTACTTTTTTGCACCTTTTGTTTTCTCTTCGTCCTTTTTTCTCCTTTTTCACATGTTTGGCTAATGCAGATGTTACCTTCAGGACTCTCCTGTCTAAAGTACGTTGCCAATAACAGTCTCTCTAAAAAAATGGCCTTAACTTTCACCGCAGGACTGAACCGTCCATTACTCTTTATCTGTTGCTTTCACTCTGCTGGTGTCAGGAAATACTTCTTCTGGATGTTGAGTGTTTATAATTGTAGTCATAAAATGTAATAAATGCCAATATTTTACAGAATGTTATGAAATAAGGTTGTATGATCTTAGTATAATTTTATACCCCTTTTTCCTTGACTACATGGGAAACACACGAGCTACTGTTACACTATTTTATTGTCACATGGAAATAAGTCACATACAAGGAACACAACACTGAATAAAAAGGATTTGTGCTCTAGTCATCACTTGCATGTAAATTGAGCATAAACGATTTTCAGCAGTGTTTCTGTTGTGTTTTTAGGTGAGCGATATTACTTTTCATTGCATTCTAAATAAGAAACAGCCAGATGGACCTTTTCTAGAAAGGAACAATTCAATTTTTCCCTGTGTATTTATATATGTTTAAAATAATATTAACAATTCACATGCAAACAATTACAGGACATTTCATAACTGATACAACCATGAAGCAAACTCTTTTTTTAGATTTAACTGATGAATTGTTTTGACTTTCAAATATCCCACAACCCAACCCGACACATTCAAATGTGTTTGTTTCAAAGCAATCTAAAATGTAAAATATTAAGGATACCGTCACATCAAAAATAGAGAAGTCACTATATATAGGAACAACTCACAAACTGGAAAATTAAAGAAATCAAGCATTTTTTCTTGGAAATAAGTTTTTTTTTTTCTCCTCACAGACACTTAATGGAATTGATTTGAATAAACTTTACTCAGACCTTATGTTTATCAGTGTTGAACTTATCAGGTTATACATGGTGTTTTAAGGTTATATGGTATATTAAACCAGGATGACGTGTAGTAAAAAGTGCAAGTGTCCAGGTGTTGCAACTAAACACACAGATTATGAGCTAATTGGCCAAAGTGTAAACATGTAAAAACCTAATTTGATCATTAAAATGTATCCAGGTCAATTATAACTCAACAGAACTAATTCAGTTTAATATTAAATGAAGAGATTAAATGTGTAAACCCTGACCTCGCCTTCTGCTACTACTGATCAAAACCGACACTCCTATTTAATATAAAATAGTAATCATTATTCAAAAGATTACAGGAAACACTAAAAGGAAACAAGTGATGCAGGTTGAACATTTAAAGCTACGCTGTCCAAACAATTTAAGTTTTTTTACTTACTATATGAGCTCAACTATGCTGTGATTCTCGCCCTTCACTTCCCAAAGAATAATGCTAATAATGAAACATTCAAACAGAGGCCTGTAGGGGTCATTGTGAAATCTCTCAATCTCTGCACGTTGCCATGAAGATCTTCATCTCTCCGTCTTCACCCAGCATACTCGTGTTGAAAGCTTTTTTAAAGTTCTCAGTGAAAGTCACATCAGTCTCAAACCTCACCTTGTTGGCCCAGATCAAAGTAGTTCCTGGTCTGCAGAAATGCTTCATGGTAACCAGGAGCTCGTCCAGGAAGTCGTGATGGTAGACCACATCAGCTGCCAGCACGTAGTCGTAGTGATGGACAGACGGAGGGTAGGAGCGCTGCAGGTCGTGGCCCCAGGACAGAGCTGATACCTTCGGCGTGTGGCTGCAGCGGCCCCTGGTGTTCCTCATCACGTTGGCCAGTAGGTAACCTAACACATCAGGTAGGTCTGTAGCTGTGGCTGCGGCTCCTGAGGATCCAGAAACAATAATCTGTCATCAACATGGCTACAGAAACAGTAACATATTACACACTGAAAATAACTGGATTTTCAACCTCTATTTTTTTCTTTCCTTTTATCAAATTTTCCATATGTATTGTAGACATTTTATCTAATCATTTTTATTTTAACAATTTTTCTTTGTCTTTGTTTTAGTAATTCCCTCGGAAGTAGCAATATGAATCAAGGATGTTTAACTTAGTTTCCACAAGAGTCACCTTTACTTTTAAAACACTTGTATAATATGTATTAAAACTTCCAATGCCTCCACACCTTTTCTTTATTAAAGCTTAACCTTGAATTTGAACCTCTCACCAAGGAGAGCAGCTACAATGGACAGGAGGCCAGTTCCTGCTCCGATCTCCAGGACTGTCTTGTCCACTAAATTCAACTGTTGGCGATGGGTGTCCAAGTAGTGACAGAGAGTCAGAGCCTGAGGGAAACATGACTTACAATTCAACATCTTTGAGTTCATTTTTTTGAATAACAACCTCTGAATAAAAGCAATAGCTTCTCAATAAATAGCATCCCCATAGTCCAAAAGTGTATTAGGAAGTGTAAGGGCGTAGTGTCTTTCAAATGCTGATGAATGCAAGTTTAAAAAAAAAATGTTTCTCACCCCCGGCCAAACATTGCCTGCGTAGGAGTCCAAAGCCCCTTGGATGATGATCTTCTGCCCAGCAAAATAGTACACTTCTTTATCTATTCCGTTGCAGAAGCACGGAGCCCAGGCTACTTTATATTGCTCCTTGATGTCTGATTCCTCTGGAGGATACAACAATCAGACACTTAGGACCTCTGTGGTCTCTCGAGTTTGGAAATTAATGTTTTTTATTGCTCATATTCATCTTACCTTTTTGCTCCTCTTTATCTTGGGCACCCCCATCTTCCTGCTGCACTTCTTCCTCCTCTTCTTCCTCTTCCTCCTCCTCCTCCTCTTCCTCCTCCTCCTCTCTTTCCTCTCCGATTATCATATGATAATTTATCGAAGACATGAATGATGGCAAAGTATTCATTTTGGATCCTGCTCTTGGAAAAGGACAGATAGATGGTGCTTCATTAAAAGTTGTTGTCCTCAAATTATCCTCAAAATATTTATTTCTGATACTGAATCCTAATATTTAAATTGACAACAAAATAAAAGAGATTACAGGATAAACAAAGATAAATACAGATTAATAAATTATATTTGTAATTTTCACTTTTAGTTCAGTATGTCTCCCCTTCATTCTTGTATTGTAATTGAATTGATATGTTTATACCATTATTTATTAACTAACACTAGTTGATGTGAACATAAACAAAGCATTTTTTTAAAGATAATCTTCTGTCAGACTACATGAGAGAAACGTTTCAAAGCATACTTTGCAAAGTCTTGTTATAAAACTTGATAACAAATTATCATACAACAATACCATCAAATTAAATACTGCAGAGTACGTTGAGAAGACACCGTACTCCTCTTCTTACAGAGATTTTGTAAACATTGTCAAAACCTCCCTCTCAAACCCAATACCCGTGATCTTTGACCTTACCTGCTGCTGCTCTTTTTCCCAGTGAGGAATCTCAGGAGAAATCAGACTGCATCCGGAGACCTCTGACTTGAGGTTATAGACTGAGCATCCTGTTGCCACACCCATCACCATCACAAGGGCACGGGGTATTTTTAGACCCTTGCAGGAGAACTCAACACAAGTCAGAGTGCACACACACACACACACACACACACACACACACACACACACACACACACACACACACACACACACACACACACACACACACACACACAAAAACAACAAAGATGAGTCCGTGGAGGAGCCAAATAGAGAAGAGCTAGTGACGATGCCGAGTAGCCATTTATCTTCGCCTCCAGTGACACTTATGGACTTCTCTGCTTTTGCTCTCTGGCAATCACGATGGACTGTAACCTCATCCTGGATATCACTTATAATGATATAAAATGAAGGAGTGAATTATTGGCTCCTACTAAATGTTTTCAGCTGATAAATGTCTCATGTCATGACAATCCACCTGGTAGTCTACAAATAGTAACATAGAGAGAACTAGTAAGATACATGATTTGTGTTTGACTTGAGAGAATCTTGGCAGAAAGCCCTTGAATTGTGAGTAGAAACACAAACATTTTGAACCCAAAAGCCTAATTTGAAAAGACCTCATGCAAAGTACTACTCAAAGATGACAAACATAGTCTAGAATGTGTCCATGCTGCTCTTTTTTCCTGCAACGTCCTCAATTGCTCTACCAGAAATGGGAGGTAACAGGATCAGGCTGGTATTCAACCCACATGCCCCCTTTAAGCTAAGAAGGGGGCTCCTGTAACATAAACTCAATTAGCCATCTCTCGGTTACATATTCACAGCCTTTGGCTTTAAAGTATTCCTTCTCAGATATCGTTAAAAAAATTCCACTCAGATCCCAAAACTTGAAGTGCATCCAGGAGCTCTGGGTGGTTGGATATGTTGATGGGAAGTGTACAGTGGTTAGGTCATTGCTCTAATTTTTGTTGATGTGTTGCAGCCTTATTTGGAATAAATATAAGAGTTTTTAAGCCTGATGAGGGGCAGCATCTTTGTTCTGTCCCTGAGTGAAGGGTTGTCTCTTATCTAAAGACTGTTGAAAGAAATATAAAGTTACCCGATACCTCTTTAAGGCCGCACACAGTCATCAGCTGTTGAGTATTTGTTTGTCTTCTCAGTGACATTGCATTGTGCATCACTGCACCCAGCTTACATAGCCTCTCGTGTTCTTCACAAAGCTTTTGTTCATGCAAGCAGTCACACATCCATCACAGGGGGAAAAACACAAGAATGGCTGGACAGAACATTTTTGAGGACTTGGAATGATGCATTTGATATCAGATTAAATAGGTCATGTTAATAACAGATGACTCTAACTGAATCTTTCCAAGATAAACAATCTGTTGATTTTCCAAAACATTCAAAGTGTGTGTGTGACTCACCTTACTTAAGCAGCACATACTGTCTAATATGGATGTGATCCTCAATTTGACCTCTTTAAAACATTTGTATTGTGATATACTACCCAAATAACTCCATATAGGTTTAAACATAAATGTTGCAAACTATTTTGAAATGGTAAGATTTGGTTAGGGCATTTGGTAAATGTTATTTTGTTCAAGTGTTTGATGGTTTTAACTATGTTACTGCCCCAACTATAAAATGGGATTACGCTTCCAGAAAGTGCCTTTAAAATATTTTGAGTTTAGATGGCATATCATCTTTTTTAAATTGATATGTCAATACTAGTTACAAACAGTTTCCTATTTAAACAGTAAATCATCACAGAGCAAAATAAGCACTTATAGACAAGGGTGTAACTTTGGTTTGAGAAGTGGGGGGGGACACAAAACAGGGGGTCCTCTGCAATGAAACATTGTTCTCAATTTAATTCCATTTCCTGCCTTTCTACAAATATATATTAGGGACTATGGTCTTAACTAATCCAAGAAAAATGTGTAGTGCGTATAATGAGTGTGCAAACTTATCTATCCATGAACCTGTTTTATTTGTTATGACCTCACATCCTATAGGGGGGTCTGGGGGCATGCACCCCCGGTAAGATTTTTTTCTTTAAATTGAAGTTAAATGCATCAATCTGGTGCACAAATTAAGAGATTTATGGATACAGCTCTCAACACTCATATGAAACAGAACTCCATAAATCTCTTAATTTGTGCACCAGATTGATGCATTTAACTTCAATTTAAAGAAAAAAATCTTACNTGCGTGCGTGCGTGCGTGCGTGCGTGCGTGTGGGTCGTGGTGGGTGGGTGTCCTTATTTATTATATTTATGCAGTTTCCCTAACCAGTCTTTTACATTCTGTCTGAATCGTTTTGGCTGGAGCAGTCGGAGGACAGAGGACACTCTTCAGCCTGTGATAAAGCAGCTGAACACCCAGCAGGTAACCAGGAGTACTTTTGCTAAAATAGATTTAATCAACATGTTCGAGTTCGGGGAGCACCGTTACCCTTGTTGAGCCGTGGAGGAGAGAGACAGCTTTGAATGTTGTGTTTAAAACCACCATCGACAAATCCTACTCATATCCTTCAACTAAAAGTTATAGAAAAATGGTTTCAACATCCAGTTGCAAATGAGGAAGTAGTACAATGCACACTTATGCAAAGCAGAAACATCTTAATCGTTCCTGCATCATTAACACTGTTCTGGTTTAGACACAGCTGCGGATCGACTCGTTCTTCCGCTTGGAGCAACAGGAGAAGCAGGCGATCCGCAGCCAGCGGCTCCGCAGAGCTGTCACCTGCATGAAGAGGAAGGAGAGGGAGGGGGGAGACGAGGGAGAGGACAGTGAGGAGGACCTGCCATCCCCATCCCCATCAAAATCTAAGAAAGGGAAGGCACCAAGCAAGAGTCCGAAGAAAGTAGGAGGAGGAGAGAGAGAAGTGGGGAGGTCCGTGTCCGGAGGAGGGTTTCTGGGGTCGGAGGAGGTTGTTGAATCTCCTCCTCCTCCTCCTCCTCCTCCATCTCTGAAGGATGTGAGGAGCAGCAGACAGGAGTCTCTGCCGGTGAAGGCCGTCCCCCAGCCTACTAACACTTTACCTCAGAGAGCCAGCAGCAACAGTAGCTCTGGGGAGGACAGCGATGATAGTGGCGGGGAAGTTGCTATGGTTACAGCTCGATCTGTGTTTGATGGCGGCCGACGAGGCCGTGGAGCAAAAAGCACGAGGGGGAGAGGAAGCACGAGAGGAAAGAGAAGGGGGAATAAATCGTGAGGGGGAAAGGCAAATGGGGAATATGTCATTCATTAAAAAATGTGATATTTATAAAGGTAAATAATGAATCATGAACAGTAATGAATTGAGCTTTCTCTGTATTAAGAATATGTATTTTGTAAACTGTTGATGTGACTGAAAATAAGTTACCTGTTGTAATTTGAATATTTGGCATTAAATCTTTGAGTTAAAGGTGTCTGTAGTTGAAGTATTTCCACAGTAGATGTCAGTTTGGCTCAGAATTCATCCATTTGTCGTGCCAATGTAAGATTGAGACAGGTGCAAGTCTTCACATCGCTTACATTTCCTTCAGGCACTCTTACGTTTTTCAATAAGTGCAACAAGTATATTTGAACTTTTTGTTCAACTGGGTTTTTTTGTGGTCTTTATTTAAACATGACCCCCACCCCTTTGGACCCTTGCTCCAGTCCATTAGCCGGACAGAGCAGCTGTCTCTGTCTGTCAGTCATGCTGCATCAGAGAAGCTCTAAGCATGCCCACAGAGGGCTAGAAATGCCGGGTGGAGACCAAGTAGTTTGGAAATACTGTATTTCTATGTAACTTATCTGGATCTATATTTACCCAAACCCTAAGGACTTAATCCAAGACTACAGACAAAAACAATAGTTGCTGTTAAAGAATTTCTGTTTTTACTTTAAGCATGGACACTCAACAGTCCAATGCCAGGAAGGAGGACTCAAACACCAAAGAAGAAGGTGAGAGTTTGGAATAACACGACATAAATCTGAACATGTGTCAGTGCATTTGGTTACTGCTGGCAGTTTGGCACAGGCTTTTTGTGGAACAAGTTCATAATCTCAGGGCAAGTTTTTTTTACTTGCATGCCAAGTTAAATTTAAATCATCTGAAAATCAATCTAATTTCAGAGCTTGTGTTGAAATATGTATTCCATATAACCATCTGCATCTCTGCTGGTAACAACAAATATAAAAGTTATATTTATACAGTGAGCGATAAACTGAGCTCCAGGGCATTTCCGACCTTTGAATTGTTCCTCTGTGGGCTCCCCCGATCTTTTGGCTAAAGTATGACATAACTGAAGTTGTGCGCTCGGAGTAACACTGACACACATAGCATGAGTCTGACACACTGGCATTATGTTACATACAAACAACAGGATAAGAGAGCATTATAGGACTTAATGTGGTTCATTTATAGAGCAGAGAATCAAATCTGTAATGTGATATGAGTGAAACAACACGATGACTCATAGGCTCGATTTAAGTCTGGAGTATTTCAGTGCCACTTTTAAGTGTTGCAGGTCGAGGACAAGATAAGGGAAACACCTACTGCACTCACCCTGGAAGAGGCTTTGTGTTATCCCCTAAAAAACGTCTATTTAAAAAATGCAGATGTCTTTCCAGATACACTGACACTGTTCATCTGGGTGATCCACAGCCCTCACTTTGAACACTTTTACTTGAAACTATTGCAGTGCCTCACTGTATTCACATAAAGTAAGTTCAGGCATCGACTGATTTTTGGTCAGTTTTGTCTTTGGTGTCACACAGTTTTAATTCATGAGGAATTCAATTGAACTCCTTATATCAGAAGTACCAATGCAGTTTCACAGGTTAGAAATAGTCAAACAAAAAACTAAGTGGCAAATAAGTTGAGGTGTTGGATCAGTACCACTTAAAACCTGGCAAAAAATCTGAAAAATGTTACATACCAGACAGGGAAACAGGTGGCAACGAAGAGTGGTGCTCAACAGATGGGAATAAACTGCAAATCTTTCACTTTTATCAGCAGAAATGTAGACTCTTTGCAGCAGGAAAGCACAGGTTGAACTAATAACTCACCACCATTTCATTAAACGATGCCAGTGTGATTTATTACACATGTGTATCTTATGACGTCAAAATGTCTGCTGTGAAAAATATGTATTTGTCTATTTCTAGATTCTGCTTCCACTCACAGGGTCACAAGTTGTGAACCCTGTGTAAACATGTTTCTTATTTGCACGTCTCTCCCGTGTGTGCCTGATCAGATGCTGCTGTGGATGCAGAGCTAGCCAAAGCCATAATGTCTCGGAGTTTCCACCCCTCCATCCTGGGCCCTGAACCCTGGGAGGGATACATCTTCTCTGATCTGGAGATCCGTATCAAAGAGTCCACAGACCTCTATGGAGCTGTTCTCTGGCCCTCGGTATACGCCCAAATGTATACATTATCCCAACTATTGAGCTGCTGTAGCTATTATTTACTTTGAGCCCTGCCAGTGAACTAAGAACATGCGTTCCCAACAACAGGCGATGGTGTTGTGCCATTTCTTGGAGACCAATCGTGATGAACACAACATGATGGATAAAAATGTGATTGAACTCGGTGCAGGAACCGGGCTCGTCTCCATCGTGTCCAGTCTGTTGGGTACGGAAACAAAACACTCCATTGACTTAGTTTAAAAAAAAATGTTTACCACTTCTGCTTTTTGTATTTATTCATTTCAACGCTCAGCTGCTCTGTCTGTTCAGGTGCTAAGGTGACTTCCACAGACCTGCCCGATGTTTTGGGAAACCTCCAGTACAATGTCATGCGCAACACTAAGGGTCGATGCAAGTACATTCCTGTGGTAGGTTACCTGTTCAGACATCATATTGTCGGTTTTATGACATATTCAATATATTTTGAATACCCAGCCAATGTTTAGTTGACAAAAGAGCCATTAGAGATAATTATGTGTTTTTTTGTGATTTGTTGATTTTTCTGTTTGGCTCATGGACCAACGATGACATTTACTTCATCATTCCTTGAAATTGTGTAGCTAACCCGAAATGAAAAGCAGTCTAAGAGTTCACTTTTTCAGTATAGAAAGGGATTTAATAAACCTGTTAAATACCATATAAATCAACCCTAAGTCTGCTCTGTTTCCAGGTCACAGAGCTCTTCTGGGGTCAGGAGGTGGAGCAGCATTTCCCACGTGCCACACATTGTTTCGATTACATCCTGGCAGCCGACGTGGTGTATTCCCACCCTTACCTGGAGGAGCTGATGGATACCTTTGATTACCTGTGCCAGGAAAATACACAGATCCTGTGGGCCATGAGATTTCGTCTGGACAAAGAGAACCGCTTCGTCGACCGCTTTCGGCAACGCTTCAATCTGGAGGAGCTGTACAACCTCCCCAGCCTGAGCATCAAACTGTACAGAGCCTGGAGGAGGGACGAGAGAGCGACCACTTCCTGATGGACTGTGTGTGTGTGTGTGTGTGTGCGTGCGTGCGTGCGTGCGTGTGCTGATATGACAATGTTTTATTTCTTTTTTATGTGAACTGTTTTCATGAATCTAGTCCAATTGTCTAGAAGTCTCCTTCTACTTCTCATCTTCAGGATAGTTTGATATGCCAGAATATTGCAACATTAAGTTATGATCCATGTTTTTCAGATTTTGTTATTTGATTTATTGGTGTATTTATTTACTAAAACATGTAAATACAATGCCATAATATTACATTTCACCTCATACCCCAACATTACCAATAAATTAAATCTGCCACAGTTTTATGTGTTGCTGATATGATTATTAAGTGCCAGGGATATTTAAAAATGTTTCACTTTTTCTTAATAATTTGGCAACTTTGTTTGGATATACATTTAATGTTTTGGGTTGGTCACACTGATCAGGATAGTGACGTCAATGCTCAAAATGCTTTTTTGTTTTTGCCACATGGCTGAGCTCCCATCTGCAGGATCATATTCCGTTTTTAAAGCTGGTTGTCAGCCATCAGCAGCTACGCTCTCACATTTCAGGTCTTGGTTGATGATGTTTTGGTTCAGTCACCTCACAGCACTAGGGGTCAACATGGCTCTTGTTTTTCCCGTAGATTTCTGATGCCCCTATGCATTTTAGTTAGGATGTGTGTTGCTGTTTAACTTAACATGTTCAGCATATTTTAATCACTCTTTGAAGAGCTCGTTTCAACGAGAAGGTGACAAATATATTTCAATCAAAGTATTGAGGGGTAGCCTATAATGTTGTACTCTAGGGACCTAAATACTGAAGGGTGAAGGTTCAAAGTTATCAGCGCAAAGCTGTCAACACTGTAGGCGACCGGTTGGTGAACATAATGGAGCATTTAATGGCTAAAGAGACAAATATTTCCCAAAGGATTTGGTGGGGAAGAAAACAAAGCTAAACGGTGGACTCAACCTCAAATCTATAAGCATGGGCGTAATTTCCACTGGGGACAGGGGGGACATGTCCCCCCCACTTTTCAAAATCCTGTTTGTGTCCCCCCCACTTTTCAAATGTGTTTTTGTGGTCATCGTCATGGAGGAGCATCTGTGTGTGTGTGTGTGGCAGGAGCGCATTTTGTGTGTGAGAGAGAGACAGAGAGAGACAGAGAGAGATACGGGGGTTGTTGTTAGCGTCTGGTGCTAGCTCGGAGCTAACGGAGATTAGAAGCCGTTTCAACAATAAGGAGAGGGAGAGTCCTCTCCTGTCGGACTGAGATAACGTCAGCTCAGGGAGGTAAAGGACTCGCTGAGTGATTATATTGTAAACTTTAGTCTAAGTTATCTCAGTGGGTCTCAAAC